ATCACCTTATATTTTGGTAGAACAATCATTAAAATTTAATATAAGCAATCAAGTTATTAGGCTGATCACTATATAAAAGTTGGCGGATCACTTGATATAAATTAACGGATCACGTTGTTTTTTGGTAGAACAATCATTAAAACTTGAAATGTTTTATTTATTCGATCAAATTATAAGACGGATCACTTTATGAAGTTTGGCGGATCACTGGATATAAATTGGCGGATCACGTTGTTTTTTGGTAGAACAATCATTAAAACTCAAAGAGTTTGATATAAGCAATCAAAATAGTAGGCGGATCACTTGATATAAACTAGCGGATCACATTGTTTTTTGGTAGAACAATCATTGAAACTTAAAAAGTTTCATTTATTCGATCAAATTATAAGACAGATCACTATATGAAGTTTGGCGGATCACTGGATATAAATTGGCGGATCACGTTGTTTTTTGGTAGAACAATCATTAAAACTTAAAGAGTTTGATATAAGCAATCAAAATATTAGGCGGATCACTTGATATAAACTGGCGGATCACGTTGTTTTTTGGTAGAACAATCATTAAAATTTAAAAAGTTTCATTTATTCAATCAAATTATAAGACAGATCACTATATAAAAGTTTGCGGATCACTGGATATAAATTGGCGGATCACGTTGTTTTTTGGTAGAACAATCATTAAAACTTAAAGAGTTTAATATAAGCAATCAAAATATTAGGCGGATTACTTGATATAAACTAGCGGATCACGTTTTTTGGTAAAAAAAATCTTTAAAACTTAAAGTTTCATTTATTCGATCAAAACATAAATAATCCGCCCCGCCGTTTGTACCATTAAAATTGTCCGCCCCGCTGATCCGCCCCGCCCCGCCGATTGTACCTACTCTGATTTTAGCGTTTGTTTTTGTTTATAATATTTTTTATCCTTGGTCTGTAAAATAGATGATTCCGGTCAATCCTGACTGATTTTTAAAAAAATTTTTGGAATTTTATTTCCTTATAATTGGTTGTCACTATGGAAAATTTCAAGTCGAATGTATTATCGGTTCAAAAGTTATTCAAAAGACAGTATGACCCCAAAAACATATAAATTAGTAAAAACCCTCGGTCTGTAAAATAGATGGTTCTGGTCAATCCCGACAGTTTTTAAATTTTTTTTTTTAGATTTCTACTTTCTTATAGTTGATTGATCACTATGGAAAGTTTCAAGTCAAATGTATTATCGGTTCAAAAGTTATTCAAATGTCAATACTACTATCATTTTCGTTGCCATTTCGCCGCAAATTTCCCATACTTAGCCTTATACCTTTTGTCAAAATTTCCCACACTTAGCCTTATACCTTTTGTCAAAAAATCACCCGTTTTTCAACAACAAAAAGTTTAATAACTTTTGATCCGCTTAACTTCAAAGATCGAATGACCTGTCATTTTTCAAGTCAAACCAAGCTCTATACAATGGCATCAATTATATATGAATATTTAAATTATAAAAAAATCGTGTAAACATGCTAATTACGCGGCCTAAAATAGTTTTATTTTTCCGCTTGTCAGTAAACAATAGAAATATAATTAAAATAAAAAGTGAAAAAAGATTGCTGCCCCATGCCAAACCCTCATTCGATGTAGCAGCACTACCTTGTAGCAGCAGGCTATAAGAAAGTTGATGTAGCAGCACTCCGTTTCGAGTCAGGCTATAAGATAGTCGATGTAGCAAAACCCCCTGGCGCAACAAGCGCAAAAATATAATTATTTTAGACGGCGTAACTGTAGCATTACCATTTTTTTTATTTTTATTGCTGTATTGGCATTTCAAATGTTTGATTTATTTAATAAAGAAGACATTTTAAATATCTTGTTTAATAATGTTTAAATGTCTTATTTAATTAAGAAGACATTTTAAATGTCTTCTTTATAAAATAAATCAAACATTTGAAATGTCATACAGTATAATTTTTTTTCTTTCTTAATTTATTTATAATAGTTTAGATTATATAGCTATTATAAGATATATTATTAAAGGTATCAATAATATTATTATTGATACCTTTAATAATATATCTTATTTTTATATAATTATATATTATTATTATTAGTAATATTATTGATACCTTATATATAATATATAATATTTATTATTAATATATATGTGGTATTGAAGTTGTTAGAAGCTAATATTTTACATTTTAAATGTCTCTTTTGTTTGATTTTGTTCTGTTTTCTGTGATTGTGAAACCCCATCTACTAACATATTAAAACAGTGTACAAAAAGTGTTGTTACGGGAATTTATATTCTACTTATGTAGAGTTTTCTAATATTCCATCTTTCTGAGGCAGAATGACATTATTCTTGGTTTTATTAATTTTTAATTTAATATCTCTGGATATTTTTTATATTTAGTTTGTGTACAACAGTTAACAACTTTAAGCTTATACATTAACTTTAGTTATAACTTAACTATTAATAATTTGATTTATAGATTTTTAAAGCAATACAAGATTGAATTTAGCAGAAGGCTAAACTGCTCTGGAGACAAAAAAGGAAGACAGCAAAAATGACCAGTCAAAATAAAGATAAAGAGACAAAAAAATTGTGTATATCTTGGGGTAGATGATTTATCCTCATTTTCGTATAAGAAAACAATAAATATTATTAAACTTTGGGATTTATCTGTAACTCCAAACTCTTTGCAGAAGTTCAATATTTGCTCTGAGAAGTTGAATGAACAAAATTTATTAAATGGTAAGTTTTTATATAAAAGTCTTTATGTCTGATGATTGAAAATCTTTATTCATATCTTTAACTTTTACAATTTTAAAGACTTTTTAATATATTACAGTCAAAAAGTCAGAGTGTTGATTAATATTTTATTGTGTAATAAACAACATATCAATGCTTACACCACATGCTTGGTCGGGAAGCAAGAGCGATCGCTCTTGAATACTGACCACAGAAATTATATTTAGTTGCGAAAAACTGGCCAGGTTTTTTAGTTGTTTTAAGTTTATGAACGTAACAAAATTTTTTTTTTTGGATTTCAAAGTTGGTGCCACTAACTTTAAAATCCATTTAAAATCAACTGCCGAAAAAAATAACAAAGTATTCATATCAGTTTAAAGTTTTAACAGTTGCTGGTGGTTTATTATTATTAATTATATAAACGTTTATTTAAATTTATCTAATAGACGAAGGTAATACAATATTTTTATAGATAATATTATTTTTAAAAATTGTATTATTAAAATTCAGAACTAAAATATGTAAAAAAAATTTATTTACAAACATTGGACAAGGTCCGTACTGTACTTTGAAAATCTGTAAAATTTGTTAATATTGGCTAAAGTCGTGGAAAACCTGGAAAAGTCAGGGAATTATTTTTTTCTTTAAATAATCATGGAAAAATCAGTAATTCTAGTTAAGAAGTTTCTGGTTTCACAATTAAATGCTGTATTTTGAAAATGTGATGACTTTTTTTAATAAATGAGGTTATTTGAAAAAAAATTTTTTATGAAAAGATAAAATAAAGATTTTTTTAGATAAAAGAAACAAATTTTAGATAAAATAAAAATAAAATTTTTTACAGGAGAAATGTTTTTTACTCTCTTGTAAAATTTTAATTTTGTGATGTCACATTTTCAAAAAACAGTGCTCAATTAAGCTATTATGTTTTTTTTGGTGCTATCCATTTATTTTTTTTCTGAAACTTATATTTTTCTTGGTGTTCATTCTTAGTCATCCTTAATAATAAGATCCATACTAACATGTATAATAAGCTCCATACTAATATCCAACTTAACTAATAGCTAAGTTTTATAAGTTTTGTCATTCAAAGCATGTACAATCTTAGCATTTCCATTACAGTAGATAGTAATTTTAAACATTTTGTAAAAACCATTGTTAAAAATGGTCAGGGAAATTCATCTGATTTTTCAAAAAAAGTCATTGAATTTTATATAAATAGTTGGCAATGAACCCTGTTAGAGAAACATTGTTTTAATATGAATTTTTTTGTTTTACAGTGCAATTTGCATTTTATAAGATACACAAAACAATTCTCGTTAATGTTTAAGCTTAAACATTAGCCAGAATTGTTTTGTGTCAGTGCCAGAAATTGAATGCACACCTGCAAATTTCATAATTCATTAAAAATTTGCCCCTTTGTCTTTAATTTTATCTGTTTTATTAGTGATTGTTGTATTTACTTTCATAAATTCTAAATATAATATGTAATTAGTTGTTCAGTTTCTTAATAGTATAATTAACTTTATTGTTTCAAGATAAAGTTGTATCCTTTAAAGATCTGCTGGTATTATTGACACAATGGGCAAGCATTGAAGTGCAACTTGGTGAACTACAAAACACATCAAATCTAGTTATAAAAATTTGAGTAACAAAGGTATGCTAATTATTGTATTGCCTGAAAGAGTGCCACTGCCATTAAATGCAGCAAAGAATTCAAGTACTCTGGAAGAAAAAGGACAAGAAAATACTTAAGTAAATGGTAAATATTTTTTTATGATCTGTTTATGCATTTTGTATGATATCTTAATACAATTTATATACTTTAAATAAAATACTCTTTGAAGATTTTTTGTAAATGACATTTTATATTAATTCAAGTCCAAACAAAAGTTACTTTAATTATTGCCAGGTTGTGTATTTTTGCAGGTCAATTATTTGGCACAAATTGGAGTTAAAGACGAAGGAGATTGTATATATTATTTACTAAGAATAGTTTTTTAAAATGGCCTAGCTGTAAAATTAAACTATCCAGGGAGAGGACAAAAAATTGGAATAGGAAAAATGTTCATTGCATATGTTGCTATTGGTAAGTGGTTTAGAAAAGTTTATTATTTCAGTTTCAATTTTGCATTACAGAATTACTTTTAATTTGTTATGTTTCTTTGGTGCATAATTAATCAAACAAATATTTTTTTTTGCAGAAACTGTGAAGTCAAATAAGCATGGCTTATGCAGACATGTGATAGAGATAGCGGAAGAAAAAATAATAATCGTGGGCACCAAATATCATAAGCTAAACATGATTCAATAACAAGTAGCTCAGCCGATATTAAAACTACTCTATAAATTTTTTTTGTGAAATTTTTATTTAAAACTCAATATGTTAGTTTTTGGTTTAAGTTTGGTGTTTGCAATATGTATATTTAACCAAGAAATTATGTTAAATAAATAATTTTTTATACTTGTATCATACATTCTTTTTTTTTTTCTCTATAAATTTTCAATGTAGCGATGCAAATCATCTTATTTGTAACGACGATCTAATGTTGCATAAAACGTTAGGCCGATATATAACATACGATATTGGGCCAATGTTGTATACAACGTTGGGCCAATTTTGTTTACAGTATTGGCCTAACGTTATATACAACATTGTGCCAATGTTGGGTAAACGTTGTATAAAACATTGGGCCAATGTTGTACACAACGTTGGGCTAATACCTAACCAATGATCAAACCTGCATTGGGTCAACATCGACTTTCAACGTTGGGCCAATGCATCACCATGCATTGGTCCAACGTTGGTCCATTGTAAGCTTGCTGTCTGGGGTATTAGCTCTAAAAAACAACATGAAAATATAATAGGAGATTAAGTTATTACGTTTACAAATATTTTAACAATGTAAAAGAAGTTACTTGTGGGTAAATAATTAGCACGTAACTAATTTTATTCCATTAATAATTAATCCATATAATGATCAACTGGCCTGAAATAAATTTTATTTGACAAATAATATGTCATAATGTGTATGCGTATTTTACTAAAACTCAAGATACATATAAAAATATACATAAATAAAGAACTCTGCTACATAGGGCAGATAAAATATGCTCTTCTCTTATATAAACTATATAATGCCAGCTTTTAATAAAAATAAAGCTATAATGCTAACTAAAATAAAGGTTTAAACAACTACGGCAATATATAAAAATTCATTTTCACGATTTGTCATAATTCAGAGACCGTATCATTTTATAAAAACATGTTGTGGTCAGCAAAATATCATACGGACTCTATAATATTTTAAAACGGCCTTAACTACACCGAGCTACCCATTATGAACCGCTTGCTTTTTATATATTCAACAAGTTTATAATTACGCATGCGCTAAATTTTATCGGTCTGCGTTTTTATATAAACACAAAATAACCTTCAGTGCATCCTTTTTAGGGCTGTCCGATAAATTTTTCGATTATAATTATGTTTCTACTTTTGGTTTTACTTCAAAACTGCATGTGAATACCCTGGATTACTTTTAAAAGTGTATGAAAAAAATGATTGAAAAAAAAAATTAAGTAAGAATTCATTTTTTTCAAAAGATCAAAGCAAAATGCTCTTATAAAAATCGCTTAAATTAAACGTCACAATTTTTTTTTACCATCTATGTCTAATGATGAAATTATATAATTTCTAAACATTTTTATGAATAACAAATATCACCACCATTTTGTACGTATATGAAATAGGGTAAAACAGTATAATTTAAAATTTTGAAAATTTTCATACTTCAAGATAGACTACCACCTTAACGGTTTTGCCAAGGAGTACATCGGAAAAGTATTAAACTACACCTTTTCAAGATGTAAATGAGAATATGAAAGTTGTAATTAAGAAGTCGTAATATGTAATTAAGAAACACAACATGTAATTGAGAAAACGTTATATGTAATTGAGAAACACAACATGTAAATAAGTAGTCGTAACATGTAATTAAGAAACACAACATGTAATTGAGAAAACGTAAGATATAATTGAGAAATCATAATATGTAATTGAGAAATCGCAACTTGTAATTGAGAACACATAAATTAAATAGTAATTGAGAACACATAAATTAAATAGCAAATTCACAGTCTAAGTTTGTAGGTTGTTACAAAAGGTCTTTTTGGACATGAATTTAAGTTATAGTCTTAAATTTTGCTTTTGTATGCACAAGTAATAATAATGGAATTGAAAGATCGTTGTGTTATATGCCAATACACTATGACCCGAAAGTCTGTGATTAAGCTAAATCCGTGTCAACATTTATGTCACCAAATTTGTTTACGTCCAGTTCTGGAACAACCAGATTCAAGTTGTCCAATTTGTCGGCATGAAATACACACAACTGAACAAGTTGAAAGGAAACGTTACGTTTTATCTTCTCCAAATGACAGGAGAAGAGTTGTTGAATGTGCGGAGCGATTTGAAGATTGGGTGAATCTCGCGCAAACGCTAGGTATCAAATATAAGACAGCATACAATTGGGTTCGCAGCGGAAATTCAAATTTCATCGGAAAAGGAGGTTTTAAACCGAAAAAGTTGACCGAAGATCAAATCGAAGAAACATTAACATGGATTGAAAATGATTGTCAATTAACATTGGTGGCCATCAAAACAAAGATATTAAGACAATTTAACATAAACGTTAGCACAACAACAATAGCAAATTACCTCGAAGGCAGATTGTTCTCATTAAAAAAAGTGCACAAGGAGCCTTCTACAATGAACAGTTATGAAAACAAACAAAAAAGAGCTGAATATGTTAGAAACATCAACGAACATATCACAAATGGTCGTCAGATAGTTTGGTTGGATGAAACAAATTTTAACCTTTTTTGTAGAAAAACGCAAGGACGCGTGAGACAAGGAAAAAGAGCAATTATGAAAGTACCTGCTTCAAAAAGTTTAAACATACACTTGATCTCAGCTATTTCAACTACAAATGTCGTCATGATAGAAACTCGCAGGGGTCATTTAAAGCAGATTCCTGTAACGAGTGGATGTTGGCTATGTTTCACCAGTGGGTTACATCCGGGAATCGTTTGGAGAATTTGGTCGTCGTAACAGATAATGCTCCTTGTCACGCTTGTTTGCAAAGGGTGTTTGATAATTCACCAGCTCAGTTGTTACGTTTGGGACCTTACAGTCCAATGTTGAACCCGGTGGAAACGACCTGGTCCAAAATTAAAAGTAACGTTAAAAATGCAATTCGCATTCCACTTGTATTAGGTGACGGGATTGCGGAACAGCGCATGCAGTACTTAGAACGAATTGTAATTGAGGCGAAAAACATTATAATGGGAGGAGATTGTGCACGTGCGGTACAACACACAACCACGCACTATGCAACTATTTTAAATATGGAAGACGTACAAGTTGGTGCTTAAATGATCAATGAAGGTTTTTAATTATATAATTTTTAATTATAATTTTTAATTGAATTATAAAATTTTCCCTAAAATGTTTTTAGTGTTTATTATGTTAAATTCATTTGCCCAAAAATTATAAATTTTTCCCTAAATTTTTCCCTAAAAAATTAAATTTACGCTACAAATCTTGCGTCATTTTTAAGTGCGTCATTTTATACGCTCCATTTTTTACGCGCCATTTTTTTTAGCGCCACTTTACACTTACTCTTTTAAAGCAATATCTAAATTAAAATTTTCGTGTTCTCAATTACATCTTTCTATTTCTTAATTACAACTTACATTTTTTCAATTACATGTTACGATTCTTAATTAAAACTTTTTTTTTTTTATCATGATATGAATAAAATCTCAAGTTAATAGTAAAAATTTCATTGATTCAATAAGCTTATTTATTTTATATCAAAATAACTAACTTTTTCATTTTTCGCTTTTTTAAAATGAGCCTGTAAAAAACATAGGACGTTTAGAGTATCATCCTCAATAGATGATTTAATTTTGTGATAATGTTGCCACTCACTGAAAATCTACGCTCCAATTCAACATAAAATGTCAACAATTTTTGAGCTAAATCAATGCATTTTTCAGCAGGCGACGAACCAACAACTCTCGCTAATCCAAGATTCCAGCATAAAGGTGTTCAATCTAGAAAAACTGAGAACAACGAATTGTCGCGTTGATTTTGTAAGAAATTGGTGATCAGAGGTTTGGATTTTTTGTCCGTTGATAACGGTACCAATAAAAAAAACCCGATGATGATGCTGCATCTTGGGACAAAAATTTCCTAATCAGCAAGTCAATTTCATGTTTAGTTTTTAGATGTGTATTCAGTACACTGGTACTCCACCATTTGATTTTATCTCTTTTTTACACTTCTTACAAATTGCAAGTTAATTTTCTTTATCAAGCAAAAAATAAAACCACGCATAACTTTCATCAACTCGAACAGTGCTGAACGGTATGAATAATTTTTAGGATGTTTTATGTTTTTCTGGATATTAAGGTAATTCTCTAAGACATAAAATCTTGATTTTTAATTCTTAATTCAAAATGCACAAAGTTTATTAAGCGTAACTATAATTGCTGTTAATTCTATAACTTTATATTTATAAGTTGTACCATGAAAAACAATTAATAATCTATCATCTTGACATTTTTACTAAATTAAAAATGTTCTTAACTGTAACGACTTCAGACTTTTTATATTTACGTTAGTTCAAAACTCAAACATGGGATCTACATTAAAGCAAGTGACGTAATGATAATATTTTAAATCAGTGTTTTATTAAATCAGTGCTTTATTACGTGTTTTATACGTTTTTTGTCATTAGGCCATCTTTATCCCACTATGAGCGTTGTTTATCGCGACTGAAAGTTTTAAATATGTCATTTAATTTTGTATTTCGCGAAAAGAAGGCTTTCCCATCTGCTATACCAACAAACCCTCTACATATATTTTTAATACCGGTATTGAGCCAAACCAATACCGGTATATCGGTAATTGAAAAAGTCCGGTACTATCGGTACACCGGTATCAGTACTACCGGTATTGGAAGCACTAATATACATAAAACATATAATACATTTTATAATTCTTCTTTATGAATTGAAAAAAACTTTCGAATTCAACTAAAAGTTAAATAAAGTTTTGAAATTGTTACCGAGTTTAACTTAAAGCCGAATTTCTATTTCAACCTCGGTTTTCAGTAAACTTCGTAATCGAATTTTAACGAATATTTGTCGGTCCTTATTATTAAGTATAAATAAATTGATTTTCAGTTAATAAATGTGA